ATATATATATACACATACACTTCTATAACAGCCCATAATACCCTGTTTTACATTTCTGATCTCCCACTAGACTGTGAAGTCCTAGAGTTCAGAAACTAGCAGGTTGCTATAAATTATTCAGCAAATAACTATTGGTACAAAACTAAAATTCTAGGAGTAAGAGAAAAGTAAAAACCATCATGGATTCAGAATCGGGGGCTTCCTAGAGAGGGTGAGTTTTTGAAAGAAAGACAGGGCTAGGCAGAAGATAAGGGAAAGGAAACTCCAAGTCAGGGATGGGGCATGTCAACAACAAAAGAAAGAACAAGGAGAAAGGAGTAATCAATTAATATACTAGTTTGGTTACAACCGTCCTGGAAAAGGTAGCTGAAGGACGTTAATAGAGGAACTCACAACCTAGGGTAGAAGTTTGGACTAGAGAAGATCTAGTGAAGATTTTGGTAAGGAAGTGGCATGAAATGCTAGTTCAGAAGTATGCCGCAAAAATAGGATTGAGGAATTCTGTTTTTTGTCCCATTCCATGAGTACTGTGCAAGGACTCCAGGCCTGGAGAAAGTAGGAAGCTTTCTTCGGGGATAGCTTTCTCTTCCTCTAAAGGGAATGCATACAGATTTAAGGATATTACCTGGGGGGTGACAGCTCAGCCAGGCCTCCCCTTCATCCTTCCTATGAAGAAAGACAAAGCCCCATTAGGCTCACTCAACACTGAAAAGGATGCCACTGATGCTAGGGGAAAAAGATAACATAATTTCCAGTTTGGCCATAGTACACAGGCATGATCTAGTCTAACATCTCATCCAGGCATAGATTATTCTAAGACAAACTTTGTTTACTTGTTGAAGAAATATTTGTGGATTAAGTGTCTAATGCATATAATGGAGTTTACTATTCATTAATAGCTGCACAGCTTTGAAAAATAAAGAATATACAGTGGGGCCTTGACTTACGAGTGTCCCGACTAACGAGTTTTTTGAGATACCAGCTGTCTCTCGGCCCATTTTTTGCATTGAGTTGATAGAGTAATTTGAGTTAACGAGCTCCTTAACGAGCTCGGTCTCGGAACGAATTAAACTTGTAAGTCAAGGCCCCACTGTATTACATTTTGATTATTGGGGGATTATTGTAAGCCAGGCCCTGTGCGAGGCACTTTGCATATAGCATTAGTAATCTCCACAATTTAACAAGATATCTTTTATTATTTCCATGTTAAAGATAAAAACAAAAAACTGAAGCTCAGAGAGACATGAGGTCACCTACCTATGAAGCAGGAACTGAAATCTGACTAGTATAGAAGGTCTGTGTTCTACCACCTTACAGACTTTTTTCATGTTTTAGAATGCACCTCCCCAATCATTCAAATCAATACTATCTCACCTAGGGTACAGGGAAAGGGCGGACGCCAGCAACTCTCTATCAGTTATTTGCTGCACAATCCTGGGCAAGTTTCTTCCTCTGATTCCGATCCTGCATTCTCTCATAGGCACCTCGTGGCCCTCAACAAATGCTAGTGTTCTTCCTTTATTATTTATCACACATTCTGTGTTGCAGTAAAGTAACGGGTTGTTTTATTTTAGCCCACTTAGTAAGGTGTAAGTTTCCTAAATGCAGGAATGTTATTCATCTTCACCACTGTTTCAATGTGAAAAACCTTATTAGGAATCATAGTTGCCATTCATGGCACTGCAGTACTCATCCTGGTGCTAGAGAAATAAATATGTTAAAGAAATGAACGGTTTGCTGTGCATTCCCCATTAAACTGTCAGCTCGAGGCAGGAGCCACCCCTTCAGCGTGGAATACACGTCTGAACTGCACCTGAACAGCACCGCGCATCCACCTAGGTCGGCGTCCGGACACGGTCGGTGCTCCCTGGTTCACTGAACACCACGGTCCAATATGACACACCCAGACAGTGTGGTGGTGGCGAGGGCTGGGACTTTCGCCAATAGCTGACGATCAACAAATACCTGGGCCTCCTGCCTCCCAGCTGTCCTGTCTTTCTCCAACTCATTGATCCTCGTTCTGATGCTGGAAACTCACAGCGCTTATGTGTCCCCTTAGCCTCGGGATAGCTCTTCTGAGAATGAAAACCAATGACCATGTGGGTTTGAGACTTCTGTAGAGTCTCTAGACCCAGTGCTCCCTCAACAATTGGTGAGGTAACGCCTATGGATATCCTGGGTCGGGCCTGGGTCTCCACGAAAAGGCCACAATCACTACCCGCCTCCTTTGTCCCGGTTCTAGGATTGCATTCACCTGAGGGCTTGGGCCCAGTCGCTCTGAATCCGCAAAGGCGCCGCCATCTTGGCCACACCTCCACCAACCCGCCTCTTCCGCTCCTTCCCGGAAGTGGCTCCTCCGAAAGGGCGGTGGCGAGTGCAGGGGGGCGGGACCCACACCGAGAGGCCACCAATGAAAATGCGCGGTGGGACCTTCCTCTCCGTCCTCTCCACCCCGTTCCCCACGCGCGCGCGCGCTCCTCGCAGAGGCTGGCTCCCGGCAGGAGGCTCGGAAGCGTTCCAGGTGCGTGCCGAGCGGACGTGCGGGAGCGCGCGTTCAGGGCCTCTCGGCTGCCTTTTCGGTGAGCATCGCCCGCCGCGTCCTTGCTCGGTGAAGCGTGACGGGCACTGCGAGGGCGCAGGGCCACCTGCATTTCTCTGCTTCGCCATTCTTCCCCTGCCTTCCCCATCCCGACCGGCTTCCCATTCCAGCTGCCGACCCCCTAGCCCGCCCTGATCCCTGAGCAGGGAGGGGTCTTCCTCTTTTTACTCCAGGGGAGACTGAAGCAGGGATGAGGTGGGGAAAGAGCAGGGTGGCACCTACGGAGTCCCGGGGTAGCCCAAGCATTTGGCATCATTACGTTAACGCTGCAGTAGTTCTGTGACTTACATGTTAGCTTACGGAGGAAATGGAAAAAGACTGCCGGGTAAAGCGTTGCCTGTATTCGAACCCGGATTTCTTGGCTTAGGATTTAAGGCACTTTTCTTTCCCCTGTGTTTGCTCTAAGGTTTGCTCCTTGCCTTTAAAGAGCTCACAGTGTGTAGTAAGAAGAGGGAACGTGTGCAGTAATAGGGACGATCATTATTGAACTCTGGACGGGCCAGGCTCCTTTACCTGCGTTATCTCATTTAGTCTTTAACAATCCTGTGGGGTATATATTATCTCTATTTTTCAAGAGAAATTACGAAATGATTTGCTCCAAGTTACCCAATACATGAGTGAAAAAGCTAGTTTCCAACCCAAGTCTGTTTCAAAGCCCATTTTCTTTTCTCTCTTTTTAAAAAAAATACATTTTATTGATTTTTCACAGAGAGGAAGAGAGAGGGATAGAGAGTCAGAAACATCGATGAGAGAGAAACATCAATCAGCTGCCTCCTGCACACCCCCCACTGGGGATGTGCCCGCAACCAAGGTACATGTCCTTGACCAGAATCGAACCTGGGACCCTTCAGTCCACAGGCCGACCCTCTATCCACTGAGCCAAACCGGCCAGGGCTCAAAGCCCATTTTCCCCTTCCTCAGGTTATACTGCAAGTGAGTTTTATGTAGGGCTGTGGAGTTGCTTAGATCCTTCTGGTCCCTTCCCCATTGCCCTCTAAGCGCCCTAACTTGGCTAACAGGCCTGGCTGTGATCAGATGCTTTCTCATCTTGCCGGTTTCATTTGCTTTGTTTTCTCCTCATACTCTGTTCTCCAGTCACACAGAACTTTCCCTTCTTCCCATGTGTCAAATTCTCTTTCAACCCCACCCCCGCCCCCGTTCTTCATGGACAGGAGTCTTCTTCCTTTCCATCTCTGGTTAATTCCTATTCATTCTCCAAGTGTCAGTTACAAATCACTTCCTCTATCTGTGTCTGGATTAGGTATCACTCCCCTGTGTCCCGAAGCTGAGCTATCTGTACACAGTGTACAGTAAACTGCCTGTTTACTTGTCTGGACTGTAAATTCCGTGAAGGCAGGGACTGTGTCTCTGGTCACTCTGTCCTCAGCTCTAGAATAGTGCCTGGAACATGGTAGGTGCTCAGTGACCATTTGTCGAATAAGCCAGAGAGACACAGGGAAGGTATTAAGCAGTTCTAGTTTCTTTATAGCCTGTCATGGTGAAATTTGTACAAAGGCTGAGATAATTTCTCGTCAAGTCTTTCTAAGTTCTCTCTGTATGCTACCTCCTACTCGGTGTTCTGCAGCAGATGATCTTGGGAAGAAGTTTGGGCAAATACACATCACATTACTAAGTACTCTCAGCTTACAGACTCCTCTCTTGCCCTGGCCACTGCATGCTGTATGTTACAGCCACACAACTCTCCATTCCTCCCGTTTGCCAACCCTACACATTCTTGAGTATTAAACTTTGTTCTTCTCCAGCCATAGAATAAGGCCAATATTAGAAGAGAGATTCTTTTGGGGTGAATCAGAGATTGCGTCTCCAGAAAGGTGACATTTCACCTAATTCAAATTCCATTAGCAGAATCCATTCCAGCTTATTGTTGTTCTAAGCATTCTCACATACTTTATCTCATTCCGTTTAGTTCTAACCATTTTGTAGGCCTGCTCTCTGCCAGGCCTAGTGCTGAGGGCACCAAGTTGAATCAGGCCCATTATCTGTCCTCAAGTAGCTTAGTCTCCAGAGAGAGACATATGCATAAATAGGCTCTAACAGTGCAGTGGTCAGTGTTACTTATAACAGAGGAACCCCATATATAATTATGTTCCTCCTCTAACCTTGCCTCCATTGCTGTCTAGAGATTCCCAAAGATGTCAACTCAAGGACATACTTGGGCCCGTCAGGTGAAGAAAGAGGGTGAGGAAGAGGACCCCCTGGACCTGCTGATCTCCCGCTCTGGCTGTGCTGCTTCCCACTATGCAGTGCAGGAGTGCATGGCCCAGCACCAGGACTGGCGACAGTGCCAGCCACAGGTGCAGGCCTTCAAGGACTGCATGAGTGAACAGCAGGCAAGACGGCGAGAGGAGCTGCAGAGGAGGAAGGAGCAAGACAGTACCCACAGCTGAGCCCCCAAACCATCTATCCCCAGAGAATGGCCTGCAGAAACTAGCACCCAGACAAATCCTAAACAGTGGAAGTGTGGGCCAAAAGGTATAAAACTCTGGGATAGTCTGGGATTGGGGTTGAGAGCCAGGCAGCCATGGGCTTGGACATGACTGTCATATAGAAAGAGCTGTCATATTTTATTTGTTTAAAAATCTTTATTGTTGAAAGTATTACAAATGTCTTCCTTTTATCCCCCATTAATCCCTTCCACCCTACTTCTCCCCCCGCACCCACCTTCACCGCACCATTGTCCATGTCCATGAATTATGCATATAAATTATTTGGTTAATATCTTCCCTCCCCCCTCCCCCCATAGGTATCTTATTTTTATGGTGAGACCCACACATCCTCACTCATCTTGTTCCACGAATATTAAATATTGACCAGTATTTGTCATGTAAAACAAAGAGTGGGGTTAAGGCATGTTCTTCTACCCTACATCTTGGGTCAGTGTGCCAAGTACTGAGCTAATTACATGGACATTGAATGTTAGAAGTAAATTCACAATCTAAAGGTAAATTGGTTACCTAATATGTCTAAATTGGTTACCTAATATGTCTTCATCTATTCAGTCATTGGTTCAATAATAGCCAGTTTTCCTCAGACCTCACATGCCAGGCACTGTTGGAAACTGATGGGACAAATAATATGATCTTTGCCTTCATGTCTAGTTTGAGAGACAAATTAAATAACACTGGAACAACTAAATAATTCCTGCAATGATATAAATGACTTTATCTTTAATAAGTTGTTCTGGATGTTTCGTTTGATCTAATAGAAGGGAGAAAGCAAATATGGGGAAAAAAACATTGAGTGACTCTCATATGCTAAAGTCTATTGAATTAACAGATGTAGAGTCTGACCTCAACACACTCCCAACCAAACAAACACACAATGTTGGCTTGACGTTTAAAAAGTACATTTAACATAAAACACAGATTTTTCCGCTTTTGAAAAATAGAGAAGCTGTCAACATGGAGCTTATATTCCTACTTGACAACAATTTGCTGGAGCTAAATATGGTTTCTCTTAGGTGGTTGCATTCTCTGGCTCATGAATTGCCACCACTTCTCATTTTGTTTCCATGGAATTATATTACCCATTCTGTTACTTTCTGCCTATCCCTGTACGGCACTGACTGTCCTGTGCAAAGGGACGTATGCTGTCATCATCGTCAGTAATATTTCTTGTGTGTGTGTATCACATATATATTTTATTTTATATCTATATAAATGAGAAGTACAAATCTGAAGTACAGTAGCACCTAACACTACCTTTGTGTGTTGGTATTTGGGGAGGAGAGAAAGAGAAAAGAGGGGAGAAGATAGGAATACCAGTTTAAAGAACAATAAAATCCAATTTCAGCCTTCAAGCAGAAGGGGCTGACTGGATATATATATATATATATATGTATGTATATGTGTGTGTGTGCATTTGGTATAGAGAACACACACACACACACACACACACACACATATATATATATAGAGAGAGAGATGAATCAGTGTTAAGTGCTGTGGGTCATCAGAAGGAGTACTCGGGACGAGTTTTCAGCAAGAATCTCAAAAAGAGAAGGAATTTAGTTGAGTTGAACCTTTAAAGATAAAGTAGGTATTACCTATTTGTAACATATATAACAGGAAGGATTACCATCTGTAGCAAATAAAAAGTATCTAGAATTCAATAAGAAAAAGCAAACAGCCCTAGCCAGCTTGGCTCAGTGGATAGAGCGTCGGCCTGCAGACTGAAGTGTCCCAGGTTCGATTCCGGCCCAGGGCACATGCCTGTTTTGCGGGCTCGATCCCCAGTAGGGGCCGTGCAGGAGGTAGCCGATCAATGATTCTCTCATCATTGATGTTTCTATCTATCTCTCCTCCCTTCCTCTCTGAAATCAATAAAGAAATATATTGAAAAAGCAAACAGCCCAGTTGAAAAGTGAACAAAGTTAAATATACCACCACAGCCCAGCTAGTGTTGCTCAGTGGTTGAGGATTGACCCATGAACTAGGAGGTTGCCAGTTCAATTCAGGCCAGGGCACAGGCCTGGGTTGTGAGGGCATGTAGAAGGCAGTCAATCGATGTTTTTCTTTCATCAATATTTCTATCTCCCTCTTCCTCTCTAAAATCAATAAAAATTTTTAAAAATTAAAAATCACGCCGAAACCGGTTTGGCTCAATGGATAGAGCGTCGGCCTGCGGACTGAAAGGTCCCAGGTTCGATTCCGGTCAAGGGCATGTACCTGGGTTGCAGGCACATCCCCAGTAGGAGATGTGCAGGAGGCAGCTGATCGATGTTTCTCTCTCATCGATATTTCTAACTCTCTATCTCTCTCCCTTCCTCTCTGTAAAAAAAGCAATAAAATATATTTTTAAAAAAATCAATAAATATACCCACACAATAGGAAAATGTAAATAAATATATTCTGCATCACTGATAGTAAGTCAAATGCAGATTTGAAAAAGTTGTATTATCAATCCTCTTGGCAAAAATCGAAGTATTTATAATGCTTCTAGAAGAAAGGATGGGTGAAAGGACCTCCAAACCAGCTATGTGGAGGTAGCAAGTTTTGGAGGGTTACAGCTATAACAGAGCTAATGCTGGATGGGTAACAATATATTTAGGCAAAGTGTGCTTAAACCTTTTTCCTCAAGTAAATGAAGATAAATCCTATTTAATAGGCATACTAAAAGAATTAAATGAGATAATATATAAGTAATAATAAAAATTGTTAGCATTTATTGAACTACTAGAGGCCCAGTGCACAAAATTCATGCATGGAGGGGGGAGGGTCCCCTCAACCTAGCCTGCACCCTCTCCAATCTGGGACCCCTTGGGGGATGTCCGACTGCCGGTTTAGGCCCGATCCCTGGGACATCCCTCTCACAATCCTGGACCGCTGGCTACTAACTGCTCACCTGCCTGCCTGCCTGGTTGCCCGTCACTAACCCACCTACCAGGTTTCCCCACACAGCCTGCTGCTCGGTCGTTTGGTCGCCCCTCACTAACCCCTCCTCCAGCCTGGTCACCTCATGCAGCCTGTTCAGACGTCAGTTCGGTTGCGATAGTCGCTTAGGCTTTTATATAGATAAACTAATATTTATGGAGCATTTAATCCAGGCTGTCTGGTTCCAGAGTCTGTGCTCTCATTCCCTGTGATATGCTTTCAAATTCCACTATGCCACTTACTAGCTGGGCGATTTGGGGCAAATTACCTAATATCTCAGGCTCTTTTTTTTCTTCTAGAAAAATATAGTTATAATGCGTTTCGCATAGGCCTCATAACTAATAAATGTAGTCCTTCCTCATAGGGTTGTAGAAAGAATGAGTTAATATTGGTACAGCAGGTCTTTGAATAAAGTCATTTCTTTCAATGTCATTTTGTTATAATGATGAGAAATGGTAGGAATTTAACTGTCTACATCAATTAACCTATTATATAGTAAACTTCGTTTCATTATACGTCATTTTTGTTTTGTTTTTTAAAATATATTTTATTGATTTTTTACAGAGAAGAAGGGAGAGGGATAGAGAGTTAGAAACATCGATGAGAGAGATCGATCAGCTGCCTCCTGCACGCCCCCCAGTGGGGATGTGCCCGCAACCAAGGTACATGCCCTTGACCGGAATCGAACCTGGGACCCTTCAGTCCGCAGGCCGACGCTCTATCCACTGAGCCAAACCGGTTCAGCTCATTATATGTCGTTTTGCTTAAAGTCACAAAACCTATTGATATTAAGTAAGGACTTAAGTAAAGAGCTAAGAAACAGTGT